GTGGGGACAGCAGGAACCATTCCATGTGCATTCTACAAGGAAGAGACGGCTGAGCTGTGTATGTGGACGCCTTTCAGGAAGCTCCCTGGCCACGCCGTGCAGAACGCCAGCAGCTCTGGCCGATCCAGTTTCCCTTTCCGTCTTCGGAGCAGCCTGCAGTTGAGGCTCAGACTCGGCTCACGGTGGCCCAGGGATCACATTAAAAAGGCCTAGTGCAAGCCCGCTGGTAGGATTCCATGCTGACCCCAATCCTTCCATTCTGTGCTCTGAGTCAGAGGGCCTCCTACCCAGGACACCTGCCTTCCTCATGCAAGTGCTGAGACGCCAGCAGCGGGCAGGCACAACTCGTTTCCGTATTTCCTGGTCACAGCCCCTTTTATGGCCAACATCCTCCTCAGCAAGTGGGGAAGAGCGATTTTGTTCACAGGAAAGGAAACCAAGATCGCAGAAGTGGGATGACTTTCCCAGGCCACACCGCATGTCTGCCCACTCGAGCTGTGGGCAGAATGGCCAGGGGGTGCCCCCAGGCTCACTTCTAGCCCCCTCTGCTATGTTGTTTTGGAAGGGGGCTAGGTCTGTGGGAAGCACCTCTTTGAGTTGAAGCCAGTACTGCTGTCTGTTGAGGATTTAGTGTGTGTCTGAGGGTCCGATGCCCATTGTGTGTGTTGGAGCCCTTGCTCTGGACCTGCTCACTGACCTGCTCGCCCGCATTCATTCCTGCCATCGCTGTTTGCCCTGTTTATCAGCGTGCTGTGTGCCGAGCCTTAAACAGGAAGCGGGGTTCTCCACCTCACTAAATCGCCTCTCAAGGGTCCACTTCTCCTGTCTCTCCAACGTTCTCCATGACAGGTCATGACTGACCTAGCAGCACTGTCCCTGCAGGGCCGTCGCTTCCCCGCCTCGCAGCAGAGGAAGGGGGATGGTGAAGATACCTGTGACGGACGCACAGCAGGCCAGGACCAAGGAGAGATGGGGGTCCTGTCTCAGCCCAGCCTACTTGGACATCTGTCTGCGTCTTTGAGCTGCCCTGGTCTGCCCTCGCCTTATTGGAACTGGCTGGTAGGGTTACAGGAACACCTCCTGGGGTTCATTCATGCTGCCCACTTAGCAAAACCAGTAGCAGACAGTGATGACATGTGAGGACAGAAGGGTGAGACTGAAAGGCACGTCTCAAGGTGAAGGTGTCTGTGCTTAGGCAGACATCATTAGGAAATGAAAAGGAGCACCCTGGGGTCCCTTCCTGTTAGCCATCATCGGCTTCCACTTCTCCCCCGATAAAGTCACAGGAGTGATCTCTCATGGCAAATGAAATCACAGTGAAACCGATGGAGTCCTCGACGGATGTTGGCTGCTCACCTCCCTCGGCATTGCGCACACGGCATGGGTCTCCAGCTGGGGAGAGAGGAGGAGTGCCCAGCGTGGCCCACCATGGTCCGTGCCTCCCATGACTGTCCAGTCTTGGAGCACACGGTCAGGCTGCAGCTGAGAGGTCTCAGAGAGCTCAAGAAGCAGGTGCCAGAACTCGAGAACACCAAACCGCTGGACTCAACAGGGCAGGGGCCTGAAGAAGATGCAGCTCCAAGGTGGGTGTGTGGAGGCACGCCAGGCTGCCAGTGAGCGCTCGTGGTGCAGGTGTGTGGGGACAGAAGGCCCAGCAGAATTGGCCAGCAGCGGGCCTTAGAAGAATGTGACCCGGAGGCAAGGCCATGCCGGGAGCTGCTGGAGACCCAGGGTAACCACAGACAAAGACGCCTCACCGAGCTGCCCAGCCTTCGGTGGAACAGCCTCACCACAGCCCCAAGACTGCGCCCGGAGGAAGGAGGTCATGTCCTAGGGCCAAGTTCAAAATCAAAACAGAACTGGAAAGCTAAACCAAGCTTGATAGAGCCTAGAGCACCTGCCAGTGAATCTACCTGCCTGCCAGGGAGCCAGTGTAACCCACATCTCCACACTGTGCTGACAGTGCCCAGCACATGGCCATTGCTCAGAGGCCACGTCGAAAGTGAGCCGACTCTGCAGAGACGTGAGGCCCCAAGGTGACCCCGGCTTGGAAAGAGCAGGAACGTCATCCGGTGCTTCCAGAAGACAGGAAGAGTGAGCAGATGGGAGATCATTGTGGAGCAATGAGCATCTTACCACGTGAAACAAAATGAGAAATTCATCGAGTGAGAATGCTAATTTTTAAAAATGTACTCTATGAGATTAAAAGTGATCAGAGGAGGAGGTGTTTGGCCCCGCAGTTAAGATCTCAAGATGGCCATGTTCATTATCAGGGCACTGGCCCTACCTGGTCCTGCTTCTGATGCCAGCTTCCTGATTGTGTGCCCCCTTGCAGGAAGCAGCCATGGCCCAACTCACTGGGTTCCCAGCACTCAGCTCCAGCCAAGCACAGCCTTAGCCACTGCCCACATTTGGAGAGTAAACCAGCAGTGAGAGCTCGCTCTCTTTCATTCCTCTCTCTCTGGTTCAGTGCGAAATCAAGATTTTCAGTGAGCCAGCAGGACGAGCACAGGATCGGCTGCACCTGAGCCCCAGGAAAGGAACCGGACAAGGAGGTGAGCGCGATGGCAGTCCGAGGGGTGCGGCTGCTGGACGGGCAAGCTGGCTGACCTGTGCGAATCCAGGAGATGCAGCAAGCCCGTGGAGCCGCTGCTCACAGTGCCTCGGGCCTGAGGACAAGCAAGCTGTTCTTCAGGATGAACCTGGATATGTTGCTGATAGAGCTGCTGGACAAGGCATGCCAAAGCAGCTTCCTCAGCCTGAGGGGACACCAGAAAACCGAGGGCATCAGGATGGGGGTCAAGGAGAACAGAAGAGAAGCACGGAAGTCGTGCAGAAGGCCTGGATCTTCATGTCCTTATGTATGCATCGAGGCCGGCACTATGCAACAGCTGGTAAGGTTACTGCCTGCAGTGCCAATAGCCCATATGTGCACCATTTGAGTCTTGGCTGCTCCACTTCCAATCCAGGTCCCTACTTGTGGCCTGGAAAACCAACAAAGAATGACCCAAGTGCTTAGGCCTTTGCGCCTGTGTGGGAGACCTGATGAAGCTCCTGGCTCCTGGCTGTTGTGGCCATTTGGGGAGTGAACCTGCAGATGAAAGATCTCTTTGTAAATACTACCTTTCAAATTAACAAATAAATCTTATATGTATACATATATGTGCATCTCCATGTAAGAGAGCCATGGTTGATTCGTGTGTGCCATGTCACAGGAATGACCATGACAGCGTGGTCCTGCAGCTGCAATGCTGTGCCCTTCCCACTTGGTGCAGTCCAGCACCTTCAATCCGTAGAGAGACCCCTACGTGCTGAAGAGGGGCAGAAGCTCAGGACGAACTCACATGAAATTTGGAAAAGGGGTTCATAGCCCCCAAGACAGGTGGGAAAGAAACAGGAAGCAGGGAGAAAAACCGTGGCACCGAGTCCTGTTGCGTCAGAGACGTGAACTGTTACCCAGACAAAGCAGGATCATCAGACAGGATGGAGATGCGAGTGGCAATCACGCCGTCTACAAAGATGCTCTTCAGTACAAGGTGTGGCTGGCCTGACAGCAAAAGGAAGGGCTACAGACAGCGTGGGGCCACCCCCCAGGTCCTCAGAACCCGTGACCAGGCGACCTGGCATACCACACGCATCCGAAAACAAGAACATGTCCTGGCTGTGGCCAGGAGGGCCAGTGTGAGGCACCACTGGCCGCTTCTTTTGAAGATGGAGGAAGCAGCCAGAAGCCAGAGAATGTGGGCGACACGTGGCAGCTGGGAAAGGTTGGGGGAGAGTCCTGCTCCCTCCTGGCAACGTCTCACCAGGTGAGACCCAGGAGATCACCTGTCATCCTGTGCTGTATGCAGTGACAGATGCGTTCTCCCCAGCAGCTAGCTTGTGATAACTTGTTACAATAGCACGCAAGCTAGGAGGGTGGAGAAAATGCCCCCAACAGCTTGGAAAGCCATGACAAGTCCGCAGCCGTGGCTGGTTGCTTAAGGCCCATCTCTTGGCAACTGGGAGACAGTTGGACAGAAGCAGACATGGCGGAGTAGTGCCTAGAAGTTCTGGACAGCAGCTCGGAACCAGGGCCAGCGCAGAAGTTGTCAGTAGAACGTGCTTTCTGACGACGGAAGAACGAAGTCGGACATAAACAGCAGGTGAAGGAGCACGCCAGACATTCCAGAATCACACAGAACACTTCTGGGTAATCCACGAGAAAAGAAGCCACCACCACAAGGACATGAAAAACATTGTGAACACAAAGGCAAGATTTGCAGCCAGGACCGTCTTTAGAGGGACACATGCATGTGTTTAGGAATCACCCAAAGGTGTTTGCAACATTGAGAGTGTGTTGGTCCCCGACGAGCTCTGGCCGTCTGCAACAGCCCGAAACCAGCGGTGCTGAGCTTGCCTTTTCCTTTGGAACTGCTGCCCCTCACTTCATAGCCTGGACTCCAGCAGCAGGAGTGCCTCCTCGTTGGGATTTCAGGGCTTCTGAGGCGAAAGCTTGGGAATGGGAGGGCCCTGTGGGGATAGGCAGCACAGGCCTTACTAGCCCCAGTGGATGCGTGAACGGCAGTGCCAGCCTCCATCGCTTGTCAGGGCCACAGCTGCGGCTTCGCTGTCAGAGAATCATGTCAGCTCCGTGGAAGTGCAGATGTGGCCCCAGAGATGTGACCACTTAGCCTTCCCCCTCTGCCCACGAAGCTTCCTGCTCCCACCCTGCACATGCCGTGGCACAGGACCACCTGCTCCCTGAGCCCTCTGCATCTGGCTCGGAGCTACAGCCAGCCCCCGGCCTGCCCCATCCCTGCCCCACCCTGCCCATGTCGCCCAGGTTCCACTGCCCTCACAGTGCTCCAGGCTGAGGTCGCAGGCCCTGCTCCGGCTTCCCAGCCGCCCACACGGCCCAGCTCCGCGCGCCAGCCTCTTGCTTCTCTATTTTTTACCTGGGTTTCAGTTTTTAACTTGGGCTTGTTTCCCCTTTGTCTCTGGTTCAACTTCCTTTTCCTGTCTGGTTTTGAGCAGAGTCTCAAAGTCAGTCGCTGTGCTCAGTGAGTCCATCGTTCTCGGGTCAACCCTGCCTGGTCCCGTGGGACGCCTCCACGTGCAGCCTTCCCGCCATGGCCACAGTGTGAGTAGGGGAGCAGTTGGGGCAGGGGACCCGACTGGTGGAGCCTGCTGGTGCACCAGCTGAGAGCTGCAGGACCAAAGGGCCAGGGGCCACATGCACCTACACTCCTGCCAGTTGAGGACCGAGTCCCCCAGCACTGGCCTCAGGGGCTTCCACGCTCCCAGCCAGTGTCTGTCGCTTCTGGAACAACAGGCCTCAGAAGGTAGCAGGCTGCTCAGTCTGCAGGGGGGTGGGGACCCCATGAGGGCAGCTGACCAGCCCAGGCATGCTGGGCGCATTGCTGACTCGCTGCAACTTGAGGAGGCTCTGGAGCCTGGGGATTCGTGCCGTAGGCCATTGCCACTTGGCCCAAGGACAAGCCATCCTGTGTATGGCCTGTGCCGCCTGCTGGGGACCTTGTGGCCCCAAGGAGCCTGCAGGGTACAGGACGCTGTTTGTCCTCTGCGGGGTGGGCAGTTCTTAGCCGGATTCCTTACAGCTTGCCTTGCGACTTGGCACACAGCAATAACCAGCCCCTCGCCTTAAACCTCACTGCACAGTTCCCCAGGTGCTGTGTTGCCACTTTATTTGGTTCTTTCAAACTCCCAATCCCTCCTGCCCCCACCCTGGGGTTAATGAAAAAGGGATCCCCACTTTGCTGGGTAGCTGGGAAACTTGAGGGCATGCTTGCCCAGGGCTGCGAGACTGGTTACCGGATGCCTGTAACCAGAACTCAGCCCAGCTGCCCTCCGAGACTGTGAGTTGGGAATACAGCATGAGAGGCGCAGGCAGTGACACCGTCAGGACACCTGTGTCTGTGCTCAAGGTCGGCTGTGGCTCCTCGCTTCAGCCTCCTTGTGACTGCTGTCCGGGAGGCAGCAGGTGGTGGGCCGAGCTGGGCACAGGGAGGCAGGGATTGAGGGCTGCCTCCTCGCTCATGCTCATTCGCTCTCTCCTTCCGTCCCTGTCTCTCAAGCCAAAATTGAGAGTTGGCCCGTTCTGGACACGGGTCCAACTCGGTGCACAGCCTCTGGGCCAGGTCGGTTTGCTGTGGGCCTGCTTTCTGCCCCTTGGCAGCCAGTTTTCTGTCACTGCAGCAATTTTCCTTTTGCTTGAAAGGCCCTGCGGGTGGAACAGAGGCACAGCAAACACTTTCTATTTCCAAGTCTGTCTCAGTTGCCCATTCTCTTACGCGACATTCCCACAGCTCACGCCACCCCGGCCGTTCACGGTGGCAAACCCAGTCAGGAGTAACAGGACGGAGCACGGGCGGGGTGTCTGTGAAAGGCTGTTGAGAGTGTGGGCATCGTTCAAGTTTTCCGTCATGCGAGACCCACTAGTGGTGCGTGGGTATCCCGTCCCCTGCCTCTTTCTGCCTGACGCTTGTCTTACTGTGTTACTGAGGACAAAGACGGGTGCTGGTGACCTTGAGCTCTGCAGCCCACAGCTCTGGTTCCCACCCCCAAGTACACGGATGAGGAGGTGGGCCGGGTCGGTGGTGGGTGGGTCAGTGGCCACACCTGCTGTGAGGTGGGCTGCACTGCACGGGCACTTTGCCCTTTTTCTCCCACTGACAGGTAGGGATGTAACTCCTGGGTCCCTGGCCCGCTGTGGTGCCAGGGTAAGGCCCTCCAGCGGCCTTAATGTCTTCACATCCCTCACTCCAGTTCTGACCACCTGTCAGTCAGGAGCCCCTTCTCTGTAACTCTGCCTTTTGAATAAATAATTTCATCTTTTAAAAAAATCACAAGCCCCAGGGACCCAGAATTTGCAACAGAGGCACGTGTTAGGATGTGTAAGTTGTGTAAGGGTTGAGTAGACCGTATGCCAGTGTTCTAGCAGACAGTTCCCCAAGGATGGCCCTGGGGAACTCCATGGTGGCCCTGGCAGAGTGTGGGAAGTGCTGGGGGGCCAGGTTTGGACTGGCAGCAGCTGGATGGAGGGCTGGAGGGCTGGCCCCATCCCTCTGGACTGCATAGGGAGTCAGCTGCCACACACATGGGACACAGAGGAGAGAAGAGACACTTTGCCCGAGACCCACCAGCTGGAGTGGAGAGAGGGCCAGGACAGACAGGAGGGCTTGGGCCCAACCCTGAAGATAGGCCTTGCCGGCCCGAACTGGCCCTAACACTGCCATGTCCAGTGTCACCTGTGCAAATCCTTGGCCCAGCCCACTGTTTACAGTCCCTTAACCCAGCAGCTTCCAAAACGTGGTCAGGATGCTGACCCGCTCAGGGCTCTGTGTGACAAAGCCTGCTGCTAACAGTACCGACACGCTTGCCTCTTTGCCCCTTGTCTCCTGAGGGCACAGGGCAACTCCCCAGGGCGGCGTGTCACCGAGCCAGCTAATGTGCGCATCCTGCTTTCTGCACGTGTTTTCACCTTGCTAGGTTGGAATGGCCCTGGCATCCTCCACATAGCTCATGGGGATCGTGCCCACAGTGTGCAACAAGTCACTGCTAGGCTCGGCTGGCACTGGGGAGTGCGTGGGCACAAAAGAGCTGCCTCAGGGCCCCTGCTCACCCAGCAGTTCTGTGGGGTGGAGCCGCTTCCTGGTCTGAACCGTGGGAACCTTCTTCCCCCGGGCCTGAGAAGCAGCACAGCAAAAGTTTAAGTCAGCTATGAAGAGCAGAGCTCTTGAACGCCTGTAACCCTTAAAAAAATAAATAAAGTAGGTGATCATCCTGGAGTGGCTTTCCTAATCCCCAGGGGGAAAAGGAACCTCCCCAGAGCACCCAGTGCAGCACCCTTGACCACCCATGCCTGGTCTGGCAGCCTGATATTGCATGCTCCTGTGTGCCATCACACCTGAATTCAGTCACACAGAACAGTCCAGAGCAGGCCTGGATTCTTCACCAAGAAACACCACCAATAAGTAACAGCAAGGCCTAGTTTCAAGGAGAGGAACGGAGCCAGGAGTGCCGACGGGGTCCTCAGATCCCACACGGCAGAGACACTGTTTCAGAGCAGTGTAGAGTCCTCGTTAGGGTGATTGGGAAACACTGACGGTGATAATACTGGGCTGTAATAATACTGCATCAGCGGGCTGTTTAGAGCCCTTACTTCACAGGAACATGTGCTGGTCCCCCTGGGATTAGAGCTCAGTGGGTAACTGGGTGGCAAGGGTGCACATGGAGGAGGTTTGTGCGTTGGAAGCTTTCCAGAGTGGGCAGCTGGAGAGGAGAGCCATGTCACAACAGCATGAGAAAGTGGACGTGGACTGCTCTGCCTTGCCGAGGGCAGGACGTCCACTGCAGGGCGAGACACAAGGACTGGGGGCAAGCCCAGGCATCTCCTACTCTGCGCGGGACACTGGGCAGGTCACTAGCCTAATCAGCTCCAGCAAGCCTGTGGCTCCAGGTCTATGTGTCTCAGCCGCTGAGTGGGGACTTAGTGGGGCAGGCATTGGCGACAAGTGGCCAGGCCTGGGCAATGACAAGGCTGCTGAAGCTCTGCCTCCCACAGTTCATTCCTCGCTCTCCCTGTGGTCGCACCCTGTGATCCTTGGTAACAGTAAGCAGGCCCTCTTCGCTGCACACTTGGGATGCAGTGCCTGCGACAGGGCTGTGCGGGCATCTGTCCCTTCCCTTGGGGACGGAGGATGGACCCTCCAGCGCACCGCACAGATGGCAGTGGGCGGCTGTTGGAGAGCAGGGCCAGGCCCAGCGTGTCCTTCACTGATGGTCAGGGAGTCAGTGATGGGTGAGCAGGTGCACGCAAGGCGTGGAGGTTCTCCATGGTGAGGTCCAGTGGGCTCTGCATCCTCAGCCACACTGCCCATGGACAGGGACACCCCACCAAGGCAGGGTCACAGCCTAGCCCTGCCGAAGGTGCTGTGGTCCCAGGTATGTCTCCAAGCCATGGTAAGGAACCTACTATCTTGTTTTTCTCCTTGGAGGCCTGTAGGAATACAGTAATGCTGGCACCGTGCGTGGACACGCAGGCAACTTCACAGCAGCTCCACCTGCAGTCTGCCTGGCCAGTCTACTGTCCCTTCCAGCCAGCAGGACCATGTGCAGTGGTGCCTGCTGGCTGGGGATGGGCTTCGATAATCCACTCTTCCTTTGTAACTTCCTTTGTCTCACTTGATCTCCTGCACATTTAAGAGGTGGCTTGGAGCTCCCTGCTGGTGGCCTGGGAATGCGGCCGAGGATGTGGGAGACCTAGCAGTTCCTGGCTTCGGATCGGCTTTGGATCTGGCTGCTGTGGTCACTTAGGGAATGAATCAGCAAACGAAAGATTTTTCTTTCTCTGTCTTTCCTTTCCATATGTTTCTGCCTTTCCAATTTAAAAAAAGTTTTTTTAAGAGATGGCTTGAAAAGATCCTCTCCCTGGTGCAGCAGAGCCACCCACTTGTCTCCCTGCAGTCACAGGGCTCACGGATGCCCAGCCCGGAGCCTGCTGACTGGTGGCTCTCAGCTGGCCTGGGACTTCTACACTCATCACTCATATTGAAGGGAAATGCGTCGGGACTGTGCCAGTGGATCTGGAGTCTGGTCCTGTTCTGTTCGGTGCCCTTGCCAGTGTCCCCACCACCACGCTGTTCAGCCCCCACTCACCAACTCATCCATGCAGCGGGCCCGCCAAATCAGGGCTCCAGGTGGGCCGAGAAGAGCTGAAGGGGTTCAGGAATAGGCCTGTCCTCCAGGCACCCCTGGTGCAGGGAAAGGAGGAGCTCTAAGCAGTTAACAGTCCTGGGTCATAGGTTGGGCTGTGTCAGTGGGTAGCCCATTCTCCCTGAAGTGTCCCAGGCAGGACAGCCTCGGTTCCCTAGGACCAGCTGAGCAGCTTGCCCTGTCTGAAAGCTCAGAAGGGACCTTCGAGCAGCCGCTTTGGAGGGACACACGGAGTAAGACTGCCTGAAGAAGCAGCCCTTGCCCGTCGAGCAGAGGGACCACAAAAGTGCCGTGGTGGCAAGTACGGGACAGGCTTCCGAGGCCGGAGAGGGCCCTGAGCCTGGATCCAGGCTGGGAGGGGAACTTCTGGGCGGAGTAATGCTTGGCTGCTGTCTCCAGGGAAACATGAGGGTATGGGGTCACCCAGGCTGGAGAGGCACTTGAGGTAGGCCATGGAGAGGCGGTGGGTACGTCGGGACCAGGATGGCATCCACTGAAGACAGGAGGGAACAGGGCCCCGAGGGCCTGCCCAGGTGGTGGCTGGAGCCGGAGCTGGCTCGCACCCAGCCTGGCCCTGCTCCTTGAGGCTCACACCGTCACCCCCTTGTAATTCCCAGGAAGGGCATGGGAGGGCAGGACCCTTGGGGGTCACAGAGCTGTAATGGCGGAAGAGCCAGGACTGCTGTTGGCTGGAGCACTGGCGGGGCGTAAGAGGCGCCGACCTGGGCGTGGAAGGGAGGCTAAATAGACACCCATGAGCACAGGGAGGTGTCCCAGAGATGCTCAGGCCTCTAGCTCCAGACCCGAGTTGGGGCCCTCTTGGTTTGGACCTCGTGGAACCCCGCGTCTCAGTCATGTCCCAGGGCAGGAAATAGGGTCCCGGAGCTGGAAGAGGCTCAGTGTGAGAGATGTGCCAGCATGGGAGCATCAGGGCACCAGTGATGGCACAAGCCCCAGCCCAGGTGGGTGTGAGAGCTCCACCCGGTCCACTTCAGAGACATGTATTCTGACAGTAACTCTGGAGACCCCTGAGGCTTCATGACCACCGTGCCTGATTCTTCAAATACACAGAGCTCTATCAGAGAGCCATGGACGTAGAATGACAGGAGAGGAAATTGTGGGTGATTCACCCTGGAGAACATCAGGCAAGCCAGGCATACTGACTGCTGTCTGGCACTTCCAGCAGGTTGACTGCCTTCCCTTGGGCCCCAGCTCCAGGAGCCCTGGGCAGAGGGAAGCAGGCAAGATGCTGGAGGAGGTGGGGAGGGGGACGCTGGAGAGGAGGGAGCCAGCGACAGAGCTGGGAGGCAGCCCCGGACTGTCCAGATGGATTCCCAGGGCCCGAAGGCAGGCTCCAGGGCAAGCTCCCAGTGGTGGGAGGCAGACGAGGCCAGAGGACAGCAGGTCCCTGGTGCTCCCCTAGACACCATCTCTGTAGTGAGAGTGGGAAAAGGGGCAGTCCCCAGGGTGTGGCACTTGGTAGCCCCTCTGGGAAGCCCCTTGGTCATGGGCCAAGACAGAGGCGGGTGAGCTGTGTCTGAAGGGCATTGCCAGTTCTGGGAGTGGCTTCATGGCTGACAGCACAGGGACCATGGGTCCGGCCTCTCCCTGGGCCTGGGCCTGCAGAGGTGGCGTCAGGGGCAGCAGGTGGCCACCCTCAGGGCTGCCGTCTCCCTGCATGCAGTCCCAGGCCACGGGGAGGCAGGGAACACACAGGTCACCCGTGTTGGCTGCCCCTGCTGGTGGTAGTGCATCCTCGGAGATGAGGCATAGCAGGTGATGGATGAGACATGTCCGTGGGCACCCAGTCCCCACATGCCCGGCTTCACAGCCATAGGGCCATGTGTTCACCAGGCAAGGACTGGGGGTCTACAGCGATGGCGTTTATGATGGGGGATCAAGGAGCCCGCAGGCATGGCATGCAGTGCTGTGCCGGAGACAAGTGAGCATGGTGCTGCCTGCAGGCCAGGCCCTTGCCTGGCTGGTCTGAGGCCCCGTTCTCCTTGGGCCTGGGCCCACGGTTAGTCCTGCCCCATGCTGGGTACACTGCTTTTCTTGCCTTTTGTGAAAGTGTGTTCTCTCCTTTCTGGTTTTGTAGTGGATGCCAGGAGCAGCCTGAAGGAGATTTGAACGTTGGGCAGAATTCCAAGATGACTTCCCCTTACCCTTGAGATCAGAGCTAGGAGGAGCAAGGGGGTGCAGAGGCTCTGGACCTGACAGCTGGCAGCCGTGGGCCTCGCAGGTCCCTGCGGGTGGGTGAGCGTGAGATGGAGCTGATCTCAGGCCACAGGTGGGCGGGGCCGTGAGCTTCTCTTGCAGTCAGCTTTGTCTTCAGCTGCATCCGTATTTTCTTACCTGGCACCCAGGAAGCTCCTTGATGAGGTCTGAGGGTTGTAAGCAGGAAACTGGGGGGCCAAGGAGGGGTGCTGTGCTCCTTTGTAGCAAGAGAGCTCAGCTCAGTCTCGGAAGTGCTCAAAGTCCCCTGCCCAGCGTGCAGTGGGACAGCCCCGGGCCTCCCACCTCCCACCTGTGCTGGAAGGCTCACACAGCCCATCACTTTTTAAAAAAAACAGCTTGCTTACTCAGTAAATGACACTTTTAAAATATTATTTGGAAGAGTTACAGAGAGGTGATAGAAAGAGGGCCTGGTGCAGTGGCTCAAATAGTGAAATCCTCCCCTTGCAAGCACTGGGATCCCATATGGATGCCATTTCATGTCCCAGCTGCTCCACTTCCATTCCAGCTCCCTGCTGTGGCCTGGGAAAGCAGTGGAGGCTGGCCCCAAAGCCTTAGGACCCAGCACCTACGTGGGCGACCCAGAAGAGCTCCTGGCTCCTGGCTTAGGATAGGCTCAGCTCCAGCCATTGCGACCACTTGGGGAGTGAACCAACAGACGGATGATCTCTCTCTGTCTCTTTCTCTCCATCAATCTGATCTGCCTTTCCAATGGAAATAAAATCTTTTAAAATGAAAATAAAAGAATTATTAAAAAAAAAAAAAAAGAAGAAGAGAAACAGACAACCTTGCATTTATCGGCTCACTCCCCAAATAACCACAGTGGCCAGACCTGAGCCAGACCTGAGCCAGGACTGAGCCAGGAGCTTCTGAGCTCCCCATGTGCCTGGGCCGTCCTGCACTGCTTTCCCGGGCCACTATCAGGGGGCTGGAGCAGAAGTGGAGCAGCCAGAACAGGGCCCACAGGGATGCCGGCATTGCGGCCTTGCGTGCACATTTGCCAGCACCAATTGATACTTTTTAAAAAGAAAACGCTTGCCTAGTTTAAATAGCAGATGCTCAGCCCAGCCAGCCGGCCGTAGGACACTCATCAGGGATCCCATGTGTGGGGTCCTGCATTTTGATCTTGTGACAGCAAAATAAGCAGAGAGCGACATGTCCTGTGCACGTGGGGGAAGGCAGGGGTTTTGGTTAACCGTGAGCTTAATTAAAACCTGATATGTTAAAAACAAAAACGGAGACGTGGGAGCGGCCATGGCTGTCATTATGATAAGAATAGTGACTGTGTGTCAGTGTGGGCTCAGGGCTCACTCTGTCACCTGCTCCCTCTGCTGACTCAAACCACAACCGCCCCGCAGGGTGCTCTGTGCGTACCTCTCAAACCTGCTGTCCCTCACCCCAAATCCCATGTCCCCTCCCTGCCTTGGTCTGCGGCAGGAAGACTTTGCACACGGCCTTCTCTTGAGAACAGCGTCCTCGGCGCCCCTGCCCTCCAGGCTGGCCAGGCCTAGCTGTGCGACTCTAAGCCAGTGCCCACCCCCGCATCCAGACGAGGACCACACAGGATCAAAAGTTGTGTCCAGGGGCCTGGCGCAGTATCCTAGTGGTTAAAGTTGTCGCCTTGCATGCTGCAGGATCCCATATGAGCACTGGTTCGTATCCTAGCTTCTCCACTTCCCATCCAAGCTCCGTGCTTGTGACCTGGGAAACAGTCAACAGTCCAAAGATGTGTGCCCTGCCACCTGCATGGGACACCCAGAAGAAACTCATGGCTCCTGGGTTCAGATCAGCTCAGTTCCAGCCATTGCAGTCCCTTGGGGAGTAAACCAGTGGACAGAAGATCTTCCTGTCTCTCCTCTGTATAAATCTGACTTTCTAATAAAAATAAATACATCATTTAAAAAAGAAGAAATTTTAAGAACGATAAGGCTGTGTCCATGTGTGGCCACTGCCCAGGCACCAGAGAAAGCAAGGGCCTCTGACACAGCGGCTGCTGATGCCCGCCAAGGTCCTCTAGCCGGACTGTGCTCCCACCCAGTCCTCTGGGGTTCGAGTGCTGCCCCATTTCCCCTGCCTCCTGGCTGGGATCTGGAGCACGCAGCACATGCCCAGCACTGTCACAGCGTGCACCGAGCAGCCGGTGGCCAGGTGGCGATGCAGTGGGTGTGGGTGCTTGGGGCCGCTGTGAGCAAGCACAGGGCGTCATGTAAGACATGTGAGGGCAAAGCCGGATGGCAGGGCACTTTCAGAAAGTTTGCGGGGAGATGAAAATGCTTATTTTAGTATAAAATCTTTTTTAAATCCATACCTAATGCTGGTTAGCTCCCCAGAAGGTGCAGTGGCCAGGGCTGGCCAGGCTGAAGGCAGAACCTTCGTCTGGCTCTTCCTCGTGGGTTCCCAGACCCCTTGGATCATCTGCTGGCGCGGCCCCAGGCACACTGGCAAGGAGCTGGATTGGAAGTGGAGCAGCTGGAACTCCACGTTTCAAGTAGCAGCTTGACCCACTACATCACACAGTCCCTCGGCAGCAGGGGCAGATCCTGGGGCTGTCCCACCCTCTGGAACGCTTCGTAGCTTGATCGTGTTGCTCAAGTTGAGGTGTCTGGGGCCGTGGGGCCGACGTTGGAAAACCACCGCAGTTGGCGCCCTGGTGGGTCCCAGAGCTGAGAGGGTCCTTCTCAGATCCTTTGTTGTGATAAAGTGAGTGAATTGTGACTTTGTCGTGGGGTCACCGTGACCCCCAGGCTGTCGCCACCTCCTCCCGTATGCCTCCCTTGCCTGAGTCAGCCGCACTGTGGCCGTCCTGAGGTTGGGCTTGTATGTAAACGAGGTGCTGGCGGCTCACGGACTCCTCTGGGTTTTGCCATATTAACTTGAGCGATGACGTTTTCTCTCTCCAGGGCCGCCTCTGCGTCTTCCCTGGTTTTCTGTCGCATTCTGAGCAGGTGAGGTGCCCTGCGGGGCCAGGGCATGCAGATGCAGCCGTGTGTGTTCTGTGACCTGTGCTGCTGTGTGCGTCAGGTCAGCTGGCCACTTCACCGTCCCCAGGGTTTGTGTCATGCCATCTTGTCGCGATGCATCACTTGGGCACTTTGTTGGATGTTGCAACGATAGCCTCTGCTGTGTTCTCGTGCGGGACAGAGGACCCGGGTTTCGTCCCTGACTGCCTACATCACGTGGCACCAGCATTTTCCCATCTCTGAGTTGCTCTCTCTTCCTCTGTGGTGAGCTCATGACAGCTCCTTCCGAAGTGCCAAGGCTCCGCTTCCTCCCTGCATGATCTCGTTTGACTGTTAGGACGCGGTACCTGCAGCTGAGAGCCGGCGGCAGACAGGAGCCCTCGCTCACCAGAGCGCCTCTCCCCTCTCCCCCAAGAACAAAGCGAGGCCTTTGCCAAGCCATGGAAGTGTGGGCACAGAGCCTCCTTGGCCTCACCAGGCAGGCGGAAGGCCTGGCAGCAAGGAGTGGTCTGCGGGCCAGCTGCAGCTGGCCTCCCTTCCTCGTGCCCCGTGGCAGAGGCTGACCCCTGAGTTTTCTCTCGTCCTGCAGTGAACAGAGCATCTGCCAAGCCCGGGCCTCCGTGATGGTGTATGATGACAGCAGCAAGAAGTGGGTGCCGCTCAAGCCGGGCCAGCAGGGCTTCAGCCGGATCAGCATGTATCACAACACTGCCAGCAACACTTTCCGTGTGGTGGGGGTCAAGCTGCAGGATCAGCAGGTGAGCGCTCGAGGCACAGGTGCTGTGACCTGTGCACGCTACGGGCACACACAGACACACGTGCATACACACACACATATGGCAAGGTGGGGGGGCTGGCGCGATAGCCTCACAATTAGGATCCTTGCCTTGAATGCACCAGGATTCCATATGGGCACTGGTTCTGGTCCCGGCAGTCCTGCTTCCCATCTAGCTTTCTGCTTGTGGCCGGGGGTGGGGGGCAGTCGAGGATAGCCTAAGGCATTGGGACCTTGCACCTGTGTGGGAGCCATGGGGGAGGCTCCAGGCTTCTGGTTTTGGATCGGCGCAGCTCTGGCTGTTGTAGCTGCTTGGGGAGTGAATCAGCGTATCAAAGATCTTCCTCTCTGTCTCTCCTCTCTGTAAATAAATAAATGAATGAATGAATAAAGGGGAGTGGGGATCTGAATCTACACTGAGCAAGACTTTCAACCAACTATTTTTTTCTGAGTTCCACTAGTGCCCATGTCACCTGGAGTCGGGGATCTTACGCCTGGTCTACCTCTCTGCATTATTGTCAGGTTAGAGGTTAGCAAACCCGGGGCAAATGCATTGTGTGGATGTTAGCCAGATGCAGCACCTGCCCATCTATGCAAGGCGGCACTTCGGGCTCACAGCCTCCCAAGGCCTCATTTGGGGAGAGCACCAACATGGTTTGAAGAGAGTATAGGATCGCTCCTCTCCCGGTAAACCCTGGGCATCCACCCGCTCGGGGCTTAGGGAGCTGCTCAGGGCATAGGGAGCTAGGCACACGGCGGGCCTTGCCACAGGAACACTCATCCGGCCAGGCCACAGTGTCTTGGGTCGCCGCCTCAGTCGCTTTTGCTCTAGCCCTGTTTTTGGAGAGCAACAAGGCCATTTTTAGCAATGACCTTAAGAGGACTGTAGCCACAGTGTCTCCCAGCAGCCTTCACCGGCCAGATCTCAGCGAGGTTCCGAAGCAGGCTGGCTGCTCTTTCCGGAAGAATGAGTGTGCTGACGGTGAGACGAGAGCAGAGCTTGGGGTGTTTTTGTTTTTTCAACCTGTTGCCTCTTTGGGTTTCTGCTTTGGCTGAAAGCACCTTTACCGACTTTCAGGGCCTTGTGACCAACAAGAGCCCCGGCCCAGGGTCCCCTACTCAGGGCGTCTGTATAACCACGAGCTCCTGGTACCTAGAGGCAACCCCTTCCCGTGGACGGGCCACCATTCCATGGAGACTTCCCTGGAGAACAACTGGAAGCCGCTTCCCTGTTCTAGATGTGCCCCTGAGACACACAGTACAGCCTAGCTAGCACCCTGGCTCCAATTACACCAGCATCCCAAAGCAGCTCCCAAGATTCCAGAATAATCCAATCTGGCCAAGAACCTCTAGTGGAAGGGTCGCTTCCCTCCGCGGTTCCTGAATCGCCATGAGTGATCCCCCAAGCAGCCACTTCCATTGTGATCCAGCCTCAACCCAGGGCAGCTGGGATGACAGCCTGGGCCATTGGAAAGCAGGGACACCTGTTCGCAGAGCCGTGCCCCGCAGGGCATCCTTCAAAGGAAACTTCCCGGGAGCGGAGGTGGGGGTGGCAGCAGCATTGGGGACCACCTCTGTCAGCACTGAAAGTCCTGGTTGATTGTGGAAAACAGTACTCGCCCTGTGTCATCACCATCAGCTGAGCTCTAACCTGTTCCCTTCGAGAGTCAGAGTTGATCGTGAGCTATGGCCACCAAAACTCTATGTGACCTCACAGGCTGAGTCAACAACAGCAGGGCGAGGAAAAATGAACTCACAGGAGCAAAACAAACCAGTGTGCAGAGAGCACATCCACAAAAGTAGCAGGTGCAGAAGGGGCATTCTCGTCCTTCTGCCCCAACACTGCTCACTCTTCACCCAGAGCACTGGGCTACCCCTATGTGTCCAGAGCGATGGGCTACCCCCATGTATCCAGAGTGGTGGGCTATCCCCATGTGTCCAGAGCACTGGGCTACCCCCACGTGCTCAGAGCACTGGGCTACCCCACGTGTCCAGAGCACTGGGCTACCCCCGCGTGTCCAGAGCACTGGGCTACCCCCATGTGTCCAGAGTGGTGGGCTACCCCCATGTATCCAGAGCGGTGGGCTATCCCCATGTGTCCAGAGCACTGGGCTACCCCCGTGTGCTCAGAGCACTGGGCTACCCCCGTGTGTCCAGAGCACTGGGCTACCCCCGTGTGCTCAGAGCACTGGGCTACCCCCGTGTGTCCAGAGCGATGGGCTACCCCCGCGTGCCCAGAGCGATGGGCTACCCCACGTGCCCAGAGCGATGGGCTACCTCCACGTGCCCCACGCTGCAGTCTCCCAGCAGATCTGTGTGCTGTCGGTAGGTCTGAGGCAGAGCAGCAGCTGGAGCAGGTGGCGGGGAGGCCCCACCCACTTGCAGACTCTGAGGGGCTGTTGCCCAGAGACAGTTCTCAGTCTCTAATTTATTTAGAAGTTGGGGTGGGGCCGTTTCCTGTCCACGGCTTCGTGCGTGCTCGGATGTCCACAGCTGTCAGGCTGCGGCCAGGAGCTGGGCACCCCATGTGGGCCTTTCATGTGGGTGGCAAGTGCATGGAGCCTGCTGGCCAGCACTGAGGCTGTGGCAGGGACATCATGTCAGAAGTTGATGACAGGAGGCCTTGGCCACCCATGGATTCCGTGGTTTCAGATGCACACCAGCGCACGGGGCAGGAGGACCATTTTCCGCTGCCAAGCTGCCTTTTGGGAAAAGACTGCTGTTTTTACTCCATGGGCATTTGGAGTTGCAAGACCTGCCTGTAAAGGAACAGAAATGGCACTTTCCACACCCACTCTCCCTAGAATAAAACAGTACAGATGCTATCATTATGGACCCACAATGAGTGCCTCATGTTAAAATAGTCTGTCCGCCAGCCATGCCCGGATCAGTCGTGCCAACGCTTGGTGAGTTACAATTTGGAAAGCAAGTCGATCAGCACCAGGCTAAGAAGTCAAGATTGGGGGCCAGCGCAGTAGCCTAGCAGCTAAAGTCCTCACCTTGAACACGCAAGGATCCCATATGGGTGCTGGTTCTAATCCCAGTGGATCCACTTCCCATCCAGCTCCCTGCTTGTGGCCTGGGAAGCAGTTGAGGACGATCCAAAGCTTGGGACCCTGTACCTGTGTGGGAAACCCAGAGAAGAGTCCTGGCTCGTGGCTTCGGATCATCTCAGCTCCGATCGTTGCGATCATTTGGGGAGTGAACCAGCAGATGGAAGATCTTCCTCTCTGTCTCTCTTCTTCTCTATATATCTGACTTTGCAATAAAAATAAATAAATAAGAATTCTAATTGGAATGAGAGCAGAGACACTGATGTGGCTGCACTCATACTAGGTAGAGTCGTGGTAAGGCAGCAAGTGCGCTTAGCTCTGCCTTCCTCCTGGCGAGGGAACCCAGTGAACAAAGTCACGGTAGCCCTGAGTGGGGAGACGCCTGAGAGCTATGTTCAGTGTATGTGCAGCAAAGATGGGCAGATCTAAAGGGGTGAATGGAACCATCCAGAAGCATGGTGGCGATGCCGGTATACCTCCAGGTGGCAGAGCCAGCGTGCAGACAGAGCAGGGGAGATGGAGAACCGGACCTGACGATTAACCCACTTGGCCTAAGTCATAGCTGCACGGCACAGCATCCGCTCCAGGGCGCATGAAGCAGCTACCGAAGAAGCCCACGGGCTGGGTCATAAAGCAAGCCTCGGGTGAAGGTGGCTTAAACTCGAGCAGAGGAGCCTGCTGCTATGAGACTGTGGCCTAAGCCGCCACCTGCAGCAGCCACATCCCATCTGGGGTTCAAGTCCGGCTGCTGCACGATTCCGTTTCCTGCTAACGCCCCTGGGAAAGCAGCCCGAGTTCTTGGGTCCCTCGCATGTGGGACATCTGGATGGAGTGCCAGGCTCCTGGCGCCAGCCTGAACAGGCCATCGCAGTTATGTGACAATAGATCTCTCTCTGTCACTCTGCCTTTCAAATAAAGAATTCCTTCCCCAAAATCAGCGCATGTTCTGTGAGCACCAATTGAACCATCAGTCAGTAACACAGTAACTAAAAAGTCCCCAAATGTTTGAACATTAAGTAGTGTATTACTTAATGAACTATAGGTCAGATAAAGGATTGCAGTGTAAATTGGAGAACATTTTGGACTGGACACAGTGCAAAAACAGCACATGGAACGAAGGTTATTTTGAGAAAAGAAGACCGAAAATCAGTCGTCTATACTGCTTCAAGAAGCTAGAGGGAAAAGGCCAATTATTCCCAACAAAGTAGGGGGGAAAAATTCAAAACAGAAATTGCTCTGGAATGGCTGGGTCAGACTGTTGTCTCTGACAAAAGCAAGCATTTGTGGCCACGGTTGGGGCGAGGCCGGCAGAGCAGCGAGGTTGTCTGCAGGCTTCGTGAGGACCGGGCCCACCAGCAATGTGCTCCGCAGGCCCAGGCACGGTCTGGACAAGGTGTGGGTCAGGGCTTGAGCAGCCCCCTCTCCTTGTCCTCTTGTGGGATGTGACGAAGTGTGACAGCGTCAAGTGCATGATGGGCATGGTCACTTTATTATAACGACCTTGTTGTGAACGGACAGCTCCCCATGGAGAGTTGGCCACGCTGGTTACTTTTGGCCAGCACCGGCGCTCAGGGCTGCAGGCAGGGGCTGGTGACCACCCCTCCACCGTCCCTGCTAGCCACCCTGCTGTCCTCAGCAAAAAGAGAAGCATGATGCTTTGAAGCAAAATGTTGGTTGATTAAAAAATAATAAGACTGATGTAGGGGAAAAATAAGAAAAAACACAATTTGGCCATGTCAGAAAAGAAGGGGTGGCCATCGCCAGAGAGCCTTCCTTGGCAAGCACTGCAGCCATTCCAAGGGGTATTACAAGGGACTTACACCAATAAATTAGTCAGCTTTGCTGACGCGTACATATTACTTCAAAAACAATTTCCCTGGCCCAGCGTGGTGGGGTGCTGGGTGAAGCCGCGACTCTGTAATCCCCTTTCCTTTCTTCCCTCTCTGTCAGTCTACCTTCCAAATAGACAAAAAAGCAGCTAAATATTTAAATATGTATATATTGACAACGGACACAAGGAGGAAGCAGAACAGTAGTCCTACATCTGCCGAAGAGGCTCGGTGTGTAATGACACACCTGACCGTCTCCGGAGACGCATGCAGGCCCGTGACTTCACAGGTGACTTCTTCCTGACGCCAGGGAAGGACAGGCCCGGCGGCCCTGACCGCCGCAGACCGCGGACGCGAGGGCCAGTCCCTCTGGCGCCTTACTGAGACCGCGTAACCGCGATACGGAAGCTGCGCGGAACACGGCGAGAGAATTTGTGATGGCCAATGATGCAAAACAAGATTAATGACTTGAATCTAACATTAAAAATAACATCCTGAATTCCAGGAATGCAAGACCCATGTAATAACGTAAAAGCAAACACCCTACGGTCTTAGAAACAGACAAAAGTGCCTGGTGTGGTAGCCTGGTGGCTAAAGTGCTCGCCTTGCATGCGCTGAGATCCCATATGGGCACCGGTTCGTATCCCAGCTGCTCCACTTCCCATCCAGCTCCCTGCCTGTGGCCTGGGAAAGCAGTCGAGGACAGCCCAAAGCCTTGGGACCCTGCACTCTTGTGGGAGACCCGGAAGAGCTCCAGGCTCCTGGCTCCTGGCTTCAGATCAGCTCAGCTCTGACCGTTGCAGCCACTTGGGGAGTGAATCAGCGGACAGAAAATCTTTCCTCTTTGTAAATCTGACTTTCCAATAAATAAATCTTAAAAAGAAAGAAGGAAAGAAAAGAAATACAGTCAAAAGCATTTGCTGAAATTCCAGAATGAAACAATGAGGAAATGACAGTGAAAGACAGCTGGTTCCAAACAGGCAGACCGACACGGCGCCCGGCATCTCCTCCCCCTCTGCCTTCCTGCAAGCTCAACCCAACAGACCAGGACTCCCCTTCTCTTGGATCCCAGAGTTGGAGAACCTGACGGTGCATATGGAAAACCTGAGTGTGCCCACAACCCGTTAAGAGGTTCAGAGTAATTCCACTTTAAATCTCAGAAGGTATTTTGTTAAAATTTTCCAGGCGTTTACAAAATTGATACGGAAATCAATCTACAACAGCTACAGCAATCTGGAAAAATAAGGATTGGAGGATTTCCCACGAAGCCAGTCGGCGGTTGGGGGCGGGGGGCTGGCCTGCAGGTGCAGGAGCGCCAGCTGGACCCGCCCGCGCGTGGCCACGTGACTTAGACGGCCCTTGTCCACAGGGAGAAGGTGGTCTTTTCCATAAATGAGGCTGGGATGACAAGACCTCGCTATAAAGAAAGCTCTGCTTCCCGCCGCCCCGTTCTCCTGGGTCTTCAGCCTCAATGTGTGGAGTCAGCCAGAGAAGTTTCTAGAGGAAAGTGTCTTCCGGGCAGTGCGGAGGGCAGTGAGTTTGTGGAGCAGCACACAGGCAGTGTCTGCCGTGGGGGAGAAGCTTGCGAGTCAGGAGTTTGCTCGTGGAGGGAGACCCACTAGGTGGGTTCAGAAACACAGGCGCTCCCCTGCCTCTCATGACCAGGCTCGAGATCGTGAGGAATGTTCCCGAGGGTGCTCAGCACAGGTGCCCGCCCTTCGTCGCCGTTTCCTGGGTGAGGAAACTGGCGTGAGCGGCCGTGCAGGGTCACTCAGCTGCCAAGCAACGGAGCGGGGCTGAATCCGCAGCTCCCAGGGCCCTGAACCGTCACCTTCGGGGCAGCCAGGCATGGCCGCTGCCAGCGCCACATGCTGAGCAGCCTTCTGCCCTGGGGGTTGGTGGCACAGCCCCGGGACACAGGCGGGCAGACACCCGAGCGGCCTGTGTCCTGGGAGAGGACATCTCCCCCCCACGGTCCTCTATGTCCTCCTAAAAGGAGATAGCCGACCGGAGATTTCCAGAACGTTCCCTGACACTGCGGGACACAGCAGCTGGGATGGCCACAATCCTGGTCTTGCTTTGATCATGCTCAGCCATCTTGATAGAACATTCTTTCCGGCCCCACTGAGCGTGACCGCCCCTGAGGCGCTCCACCGCCTTAGCATGGTGGCTCCAGCCCCAGCAGCTGACTTGGCCGGTGCGTGAGGGTGCACTAACGTCTCCCACACTTTCTCTGCTGACCCAGAAGCAAGCCTAACTCTCTCCCAGTCAGTTCTTCGGGTGTGAGCCTGGACTCCCAGTACCGCGAGCAAAAATCAGGGGGTACAGAGTGAGATGCGGCCTTCTGCGATTCCTCGAGGGGCGTCCGCCACCTTCACAGGGCACCTCTCCCAGCCAGGGCCTGGCAGCAGAAGAACCCCGTGCCAGGGGCCGTGCCACTGCTGGAGACGCCAGTGCACAGCGGCCTGCCTGCCACGCCTCCCGCCGGCTCACTCTCGCTTTTACTTACTGACACGTTTCTCCCCTTGGCCTCCAGGTTGTGATCAATTATTCAATCGTGAAAGGGCTGAAGTACAATCAGGCAACACCAACCTTCCACCAGTGGCGCGATGCCCGCCAGGTCTACGGCTTGAACTTCGCCAGTAAGGAAGAGGCGGCCACCTTCTCCAACGCCATGCTGTTCGCCCTCAACGTCATGAATGCCCAGGAAGGAGGTGAGCTGGTGCCCGGGGCCGCTCTGTGCTGCTCCCACCCATCCTGCTCCAGGGGCCAGCTCCACCATGCCGTGGGGCTGGCTGCATGTGGGCCCCCAAGAGCCCTGCTGTCTGCGCCGGGTGTCCAGGCGGGTTAGAGCGCCCAGGGCCTGGTGTGGAAGGGGCTCCGCGTCCAGTCGTTTTTTGTGTGTGTGTGTGTGTGTGTGTGTGTGTGTGTGTGTGTGTGTGTGTGTGTGTGTGTGTGTGTGTGTGTGTGTGTGTGTGTGTGTGTGTGTGTGTGTGTGTGTGTGTGTGTGTGTGTGACATCTGCCTGTTTGACTAAGAGAACGGCAGTCTGTTCTGAATTTGCATATTTAACAGGTGTTTATAAACACCTGCTGAGCGTGAGGCTGGCTGTGGAGATCAGTGAGAATCTGATCAGGGTTAGCAGGGTCCTGTGGGTGGGGGCAGATGGCTCCAAGCACAGGGCACACCAAGCCCTCAGGGGGCACAGCACAGCATTAGGCAGCTCTGCCCGTTGGTATCTCTGTCCCCAAGGGAGATTGTACAAGGCAGGGGGGAGGTAGAGCTGGAGACCCATGGGTAAGGCACCCTCAGTGTAGGGCCGAGGTGGGGTGGCCTCCCCAGAGGTGGGCACGGGAGGACACACATGGGCTGGGAGAAGCACAGTGCAACATCTGAGGCCTGGGGGCCAAACAGGAAGATCAGCAAGGGGCTGGGGGCAGGGTGCTTTCCCAGCCGAAGGGACCTGAATGCCGTGACAGGTGGATGGCATAAACAGCAGCGAGGAGGGAAGGGGCAAGCAGCATTGCCAGCAAAGCCGCCACCCAGGCCGAGGGGGGAGCTTCCGGTGGGGGAGGGGAGGACCGGGCCTTGCCCTGGTGGCCGAGCCCTGATGACCCTTGGCAGAGCAGGGCACTGGAGACCCACCTTGGGGTTCTACTACTCTGTTCCAGCTCTCGTTCTGCCACGTCGCAGCTGAGTCCTTGGGCAAGAGACTGTCTTTCAGAGTCTCGAGTTCCTAGTTTATCAAATGGGGCGGGAGGGGTGTTTGTTTCATGTAACTGAGCTGGGGTGGGACTGACGGGCGGGCTGTGCAGTCACTCAGCATCTGCACGCATTGTCACTGTCGCCGCCACCACTACCACCAAAACCCAGGAAGGAAGTGGAGAGACCCAGTGCTCAGAATCTTGAGGGGACTGGGTGGGGAGATGGGGTGCTCAGAGCAGGGGTGACCCCTCCTTGAGAGCCAGGGCTGGCATGTTGGCGCTTTGGACCTGGTCAGTACCCTGGAAAGTTTGAGTGAACAGACGGTGCCAGAACCAACAGACACAGCAGGTGCCTGCAGAGCACACTGCTTTCCCATCAAACGTGGCCACCGTGTGGGTAGGTGGGCTGGCTGCCCAGAACTTGCGTGGTAAGGACGCTTCCCAGACACAGCAGTGTGGAGTAGTGGCCGCCTGGGGCCTGCACATGCCAGACACAAATGTCCCTGCAGCTTTTCCGCACCCAAGAGCCTTGAGCTTGGCAGAGAAGGCCAGGTCCCTCCCCGCCCCCGTGACTGTGGTCATGTCTGGGTGCTGATTGACTGAGAGCAACTCCTGCAAGCACCTGTGTGCGTGGAGGGAGCCCACAGTACGGGGCCACCCTCGGACACCATGGCTGGCTGCATTCCCCTATCAGGTTCCCAGCCAAGGAGTCCTCTAACCGCCACTGCTTTTGTCCAAGCACTGGGCCTCAGTCCCTCGTCTGTGAGATTACAGTGCAGGCTCAGCCTCCCATCTCTGCACGTCTCTGTACGTCCTAGCTCTCAGGGCTTCTGGCAGTCTCCATGCAGGGGTGAACCCTCGGCCGCCACTTGAGGCACCGTCGCTGCGGCCTCTGGCTGAGAGCAGGTCCAGAACCTGGGACAGCATAGCATCCTCTGCTCTCCCAAAGGACTGACCCGTGCAGGGGGTTGGGGACCAGTAGCCACAGACTTCATCCCGACCAGGAAGGTGACTGTAATCCCACACCAGAGGGGCCTCTGTTGCCACTTGCAAACCTCTCCGTGTCCCTGCATGAATGCATGGCAGTGCCCACACCCTCTAAATGCTGGCCTACAGGCTGCTGTGACAGCTTGCACCCCCTCTGCTGGGAGGGACAGAAACATGCCCAGCCACCATGCGCTCCTGAGGGCGAGTCAGATGTCCGGGAGTCACCCATCCCAGTCGTCTTCAAGTCCTGGCAGCAGAGCCCTGCCCGCTGTGTGGGCGGCAGGGGATGGCTGTGGGGTGTGCTGGTGGACTCACCCTGAGCCAGTCCCTTGATCCTCTGCCTTGCAACCTGCTGACTGCCAGGAGCAGCACCAGCCAGTCACTCCTGGCTTGGCTGTGGTGGTCACTGCACAGGCTCACCATACCCCCAGTGCATGGCGACAGCTTCGCAGGACAAGCTGCACCTGCTTTTCATGTACTAGGTCACACAGCTCCCTGGAAACTGCTCCGGGCCCTCGCAGGCCCAACTCTGCCTCACCACTACAGCCCGCAGGTCTGAGGCAGCCCCCGGCCTCCTGCAGCTCTGTCTTCCACGCCCAGAAGGCAGGCCCTAGTTGTCCTCCTCTCTGGTATGGGCCCGTCCTCTGTGCCCAGCTGAGCTGCCAGTTGCTCAGGGCGTTCAGAGCCCAAGGCCACTGAGGGATGACAGGAGATCTGGTGCCAGGCCCAGCTGAGCCCTCATGGTGTGGCATCTGGGTCTTGGGCTCCTCTCAAGTCGGGGATCAGCTATGCATGAAAGCCCGGGGAGGGCCTGCAGCACACACCTGGCACAGGCCCCAGCGGCCCACAGCAGCCAGCAGCCAAGTTCTGGTATTGTGGGAGGGCTGCCGCCTCGTGTGTCCCTAAGCCAGGGAGTGGGGCCTAGCCTAAAAGGTGGGAGTCGAGGTTCAGCCTGCACCTGTCATGCCCCTGCCAGACCCAGAGTGGCAAGGCACTGCGGAGCTGAGAGGTGTCCTTGTCATTTGGGGTGCACAGGTTAGCCCTGGCTGAGTGCCCATCCTGTGTCCCACCAGACGCCTCTAGGTGCCAAGCTCGGCTTTTACCACCTGAGCCAGATCATGGCTGTCTTAGGAAAAGTGCCGTTTTGCTGTTTTCTGCTTGGGAAAGTCCCATCTCCATGTTCCCCCACCCCACCAGTGACATCCTCGCTGTCCACAAAGTGACCTATAGCACGTCCACACCTGGCAGTCTGTGGCAGGTGCCCTCCTTTGCCCCTCCCAGCACCCAGGACCCTGCCCTGTTCCAGCCCTCACCAGACGCCTGGGCCTCATTCTGATCTGCTTTTGCTTCTATGGCCGTGGGTTCCGCCTTCTGCATCTCCTGTGGCTCACACAGGACCATCACAGTGCCTGTTAGGGAAACAGGGCCACCAGGCTGAGAGGGTAGAGGGGAGGGGAGGAGCTGGGAGAGCAGACATGTCCCTGTTGTCTTAGGTGACAGGCACCCAGCGGTGCCAGGCTGGAGACTCAGGGAGAAGAAGCTGAGGCGAGACCAGCACTGCTGGTGGGGAAAGGTGGAACAGCCGTGCAGGTTGTGAGGCCAGGGATCTGCTCCGCCAGGGCTAAGCAGTGCAGTCCGTCAGTGCCTCGAGGACATGCTGTCCGCCCCCTGTGCCAGACCCCATCCTCCTTACCACCTGCCGCAGCTCCAGGGAGCAGTGTCCCACCCAAGGGGACAGAAGGGAATGCTCTGGCTGCCTCCCTCCAGCTGCACTGCCTCCCCACTGCCCTCCACTGGCCACAGTCGCCATGGGGGCCTTGTGGCCGACTCCAGCCCTCTGTTCTCACAGGAGACACCCAGAGGAAGTTGCCGGTACTGCAATCTCTGTGCCCATGGCCCATTGGTCCATGCCTGGCATGCCCTGCTCCTTTCTCCCCCATCAGTCCTTGCCACCCCAGACCTTACAGGCCCTTGCACCCCCATTCTGTGGCCACAGCAGCACTGGCTGTATGTCCTGCCACATTCAGAAATGCCCCATTCCCCTCTGGACTTCAAGACCAGAACCTGCCTAGGTGGTGCCCTCCAGGTCGCCCTGTACCACGCCACAGGTCCAGGCCCCACTCAAACATCCTCTTAAGCTGGCCCAGGCACAGGGCATGTGGGGGTGGTGCTGGGTGTGTCTGCTGCTGAGGGTGGGTCATCTCCCAGAGCCCCCTCCTTCTTAGCGTCCACTCTGACCCCGCGAAGGGAGGGAATGACACTGCCTGCTAGCCCCCTCCATTCCTGCCCTCATGCCCACACTCTGTGGGTAGCCTGGCAGCTGCCTCCCATCCCCCTCTCTCAATACCAGCCTTGCTATGTGCATCGCCCCGGGTGCCCCTCACAGCCCGAGTACACAGCCGCCATCCTGAACTGTGTGGTCGTCAGGGTAGGTGCCTGCTTCCCATGCTGTGTCTCGGGGCCCACGGTGGGTGGGTGGGGTGCTCTCCCTTGTCACCTTGCGTGCCTCACGTAGCTGCTGCCCTTCCTGCGAGGCAGACCAAGATGTCCACGCCCTGAAGCGCCCTCGCTCTCCGGCCTGAGGACTTGGGCTTGAGGGGAGGGGCGCTCTCTGTGCTTGAGGGACATGGCAATGGAACTGTCTCACACAGACATCGCACCCTCCCCTCTGCCCGCTCAGCACCACGGCCCCAAGGCACGCCCCGCCAGCCCGCAGCTGCCAGCGCTTCAATCCCTGGAGCATGTGGACTGCCGTCAGGCCGGGAGCACAGCCTCCAGCAAGCCACTGCCCTTCTGAGCCTCTCTACCTCCCATCTGTGAAATGGGCTTAGCCACGTACCTACCTCACGGGGTTGTCGTGAGGGTAACCAGAAGTAGCTTCACGCAGGTCACCTAGCAGCTTGCAGCCACTTTTGTTGGAAACAGCTATTTGCAAAGGCAGCCAGCAGCGTCAGCACCCATGGCAGGGCAATACCTGTACCCGGGGTGGCAGAGAGGCTGGGCATCTCAAGGTGTGGCACCTGGTGAAAGGGGCCTGGACGGGCATTGAAGGCTCTGGGGTCAGCACAAGACCTGCAGACGGGCCGGGGCTCAGCTGTGGAGATGCCCTGCATGCCCTTGCTGCCGCCCCACCCTCCTTGATGGAGCTGGAGCAGGTTCCCAGCTGACAGGCAGGGAAGCCGGGCAGCTGCCTCAAGCAGCCCTGGACAACACCCCGTGCCTGGACTCAGCCTGCCAGGACAGGAGATGCTGTTAGCCCGGCACTTGCAGGAAGGGCGGGGCTCTGGGGTGGGGACAGTGCCAAGGCCAGCCACCCCACTCCCATGGAGCCTGGAGCAGGGCCACTTCCTGTTTGGAAGTGTTTGTTTCCTTTGCAAGGCTCAGGTGCTGGAGTGAATAGGAATGGGATTCATGAGCCGCAGAGCCTAGTGGGAACAGACATTGGCGCTGCGCCCCTCCTCAGTGCCAGGTGCTGGCACTCCCTCCTCCTTCATCGTGTCTCCTTGCAGGACCAAGAAATTAAAGTCCTTTAAACACTTTTTTGAAACTAAGATTTATTTTTATTGGAAAGGCAGATTTACAGAGCAAAGATGGAAAGATCTTCCCATCCAGGAAGGGCAAAGCTGAGCTGATCTGAAGCCAGGAGCTTCTTCTTGGTCTTCCATGCAGGTGCAGGGTCCCAAGGCCTTGAGATGTCCTCCACTGCTTTCCCAGACCACAAGCAGGAAGCTGGATGGGAAGTGGAGCAGTTGGGACACAAACTGGCGCCCATATGGGGTGCTGACACTCGCAGGCAAAGTATTAGGCATTTGAACTGGTGTGCTGACCCCTGTTTAAGCTCTTAACTTGTCCCGGGCCACGCTTGCGAGTGACAGGCCCCTTGTTCCAAGTCTGATACGTACCTGCCTCCCCAGCCAGTGGCCCCGTAGCTTTCTAAGTCGTCACTCATGAAGTCAGACATTTGACCTCAGTAGGAACTTCAGCAGGTCAAGGTGACAGCTGGGGCTCAGCGTCCTCTCAGATCAGCTTCCGGTCCACGCGCTCGGAACACAGTGAGCTCTTACGAGGGGTGGGTGCTGTCTCCCTCCTCTTCCTCCACCTTTTCCCTAGCCTCTGTAGGGGCAGACCAAATCCCGAAGGGAGAAGCTGAGTGGCTAGTCCAAAGCCACGGGCCCCCAGAAGTGATGTTAGTCTTGGGGTTGGGCAGGAAGGGAGGACACGGAGGAGCCAAGGGGCCAGGCCAGATGCATCGGGGCAGCGAGCCTTCGGGAGGGGGCTTCCTTTATGTTTCAGGGTGGTGTGAGGTCTGCATGTTTTGAGGGAGGGAAAAGGGCAGAAGGGCAGCAGTGGACTGAGTCCATTCCAGGAGTTGAGATGCCTACTGCCACTGCCTGGTCCCAGCAGGGCCACAGTGGGCAAGAGGAAGGCTGCAGGAGTTGGGGTGCCAGGCCAGGCCAGTAGGGGCTGAAGAGGCCTCCAGCTCCCAGCAATGCCTTCCCGGCAGAAGAGCAGCCCAGAGGAGCCACACGTAGTGCTTCTGAATCCAGGAGCGGGGCTCAGGGGGCTGAGCCTGGGCCTGCGAGGCCCTGGGACATGGCCAGAAACCCCTACCCCACGTCTTGGCTCTAGAGAGGTCTGCGAATAGCTGGACAGAGCGATTCCTGGGGACATTGAGAGAGGTGCCAGCTCAGGCTCTCCTTCCAGAGAATTTGAGGTGATGCCAAGTTTGAGCACATCCCACGGGAGCCCTCTGCCCTCTTTGCCTATGCCAGGTGCTAGGTGCAGAGAGGCAGCTGGTGGGGCAAACAGAAGGGCACAGTGCCAGGAACAGGTCATGTGTTGAGGCCTGCAATGGGAAACAGCGTCTGCTACCCGCTGTGGAGAGGGCAGGCACGCCCGATTACCGGCTTTCTGGACTCTAGGCCTTGGCCTGCACAGGCTGCAGTCACTGAGGTCAGCCAGGGCAGCCTGGTATTGGCAGGGCGGTCACTCTTGAGTCCAGGGAGATCCCGGGGCTAGGAAGGAAAGCAGGAGTGTGAGGAAGAGGTCTGTGGAATGGGCAGGTGTGACTGGTGGCATGGGACAGCCTGGAGGGCAGCTGGCGAGCCACTCGGAGCTGGGAGCTCTGAGCCTGCACCTGCCTGTCCTGTCCCATGTCCTGGGACTCAGAGCAGCATGGGCGGCCCCCCTCTGACACACCCCAGGTGTCCCCGAGGCCCACAGGCTGAGCCCACACAGGGCCTGGGCAGTCTTGCAGGACTCCCGGGAATTGCTGGAATCAGGTGCACAGGAGGATTCTGATAGGTGAGCTGGGATGTCTCATTAAAGATTGATGTGGCGAAGCCCATTTGACGGCTGGACGGTGTATCCGTTACCCACTGCACCAGCCAGGAGCCCGAGGGAGAAGAGGTAAGTGGCCTGGGTGCGACAGGCGCCTCCCGACCGTGCCAAGGAGCCCTAGCCGCAATGGTGAGCAGGGAGTGGACCTTCCACTGTTTCTGCTTCTGCCACTGTGACTGCACCGTGCTTTGCAGAGTGAACTGTAGGTGACAGGGGCGCCTTCCCTCCTTCCTGCTGCTCCGGGGCTCTCCTGACACTCCCACTGCTCCTGGGGGAAGGGGCCGGGGTGGGGACGGAGGAGCGGGAGCGGCGGTGGGGGACAAGAACCCGTGTGACCCACCGGAGGGTTCCTGT